GTGTGTGTATATATATATATATATTATAGAGGCTTTATCGATACATTTTCCTTTTTTTTATATACTTCTATATATAACAAATTTTTTAATATAATTTTTTATATATATAACAAATGCAGCTAGATATTTTTAAAATATAACTTGTAGAGTACGCGCGAAATATAAAAAATGTATACAAATAAGTAACCTTGTATAAAAATTCTGAAGATATCAATTAAATATCTGATAATTTTTGGTATTAGCCGTTTTAAATTGTGTAAAAATATCAATTCTGTATAATATTGCTGCAAATATTTGTTCTTAATTATTTTACAGACAATTATTCAAGAGTTGTGTTAGATTAAATTCATAAAATTTTAATATTAAATTAAATTAATAAATTGATAAAATTAAATTGATAAATTTTTATTTCTACATAATTGATTATTTTTTCTGATATGTTATTCTTTTTATCTTTAGGAATTATTTCTAGAAAAAAATTGTTTGTATATCACTGACTAAATATCAAGATCAATGAATGAAAACTGCCAATTAATAAATTTACATAAATAGAAAATATATACGTAAACTTTTTAACTGCTGCAAAAATGCAGGAAGAAGAGTCGAAAAAATAATTTGCTCTTTACTCATAAATCAACTTTTCAATCGAAAAGCTAATTAATTGATATATGTTTTTATTGAGTTATTTTTTTAATTTTCGTCATTGATTTTAATATTATTCTGCAACGGCTAAATATGTAAACGGATACATTTTTTATTATATCTTAAAATTAGCGTTTTTCAAATGTTTTTATTGATCATAAAAAGTAGTTTTATATTAAATAATTTTTTCTTGTTTTGCAGAAATATTTGAACAGATTGCATGAACTGAGCCGAATATACACCTTAATTGCTTTAAGATTCGAACTGCATCAAAAATTTTGGTAATTTCACAATATTTTTCTGCATTTTGCCATGCGTTATAGAATTGTATTTTCTCGTTTTAAATATACGTCGTTTCTCATGTAAAAACATGATGTTCATATTTTATGGCGTTTAAAATGCTCTTTATGCTTTTACAATAGATTGAGAGAGAATTCTTTTGTATAATTAAAAAAAAATGCTGTTAAATGTAGAACCGCTAATATTGCCGATACAATTCGAAATGATTCATCAAATCGACTATTACTTTAATATGTACTAAAATTACTGTTATTGTTGACGAGCTTAATACTTATTAAAGATATTTATCTGAGAGCATATATGTAATAGTATAGATTTACATATAAAACTAATACGAATATCAAATAAATAAATGCCTTATCACTTAATGTTTTAATGTATTTTTGTTGATCGATTGTTGTTAATCATCCACACTTATTAACTTGATTGTTCTTCACTGTTCTATATCCGAACATTTTTGTACGATTTGTGTATAAGCTAGATACTGCCATTAGAGAATAAAACGGTAAAACGCGAATCGATGAGATTAACTTGAAAACAATCGTACGATTAACAATTTCCTAAAGCACATTTAAATAATTTTTAAACGAGTTTTTATATAATAAGACCAAACATGTCTGTACTTATCCGAACACTCGCTGTGTTGTAAGACTAAAAAAAATATGCGCTCTTTGAAATTTTAAACGTGCCATACTGTTTTAGAAAAAAACATTCGAGAAAGAGAAAGAACGTAGGAAGAGAGAACAGATAAGAGAGAAGAATAGCCAAAGAACTTCTTACATATTTATAGATTTCTGAATTACTATATTTCTGAACATACACGATATTGAAGAATGTGCACAATGGTAACGTAATCGCATTTATGTTCTGTACCTAAGTTAGGCGCAATCTAATCGAAAAGAATGTTTTGTTTTCGAAATAAATGGATAGAAGTTGGCTGCTGATCTTTTGTGTGTGTGTGTGTGTGTGTGTGTGTGTGTGTGTGTGTGTGTGTGTGTGTGTGTGTGGGCGCGCGACACACACACACACACAGGAAAATTCTTATGTATGTATACAGGTTACAGGTTACCTTATGCGCAGTTGCGTGTGACCAATTTTTAAGTAGAACAAAAATTTGTATGTTGGTATAACTTTGTCGTATCGTTTGCAATATATCGTGCAAATATCATAAACATTCATAAAACAAGAACCTTGTTAAGCGACGACAAGTGGAAGAGCGAGATACATTTGCATTCAAATATTAAAATCCTATATAATTTTTGTAATATGTAATTATGTCCTAAGTGCGTTATTGTATTGAGTGAGGAAAAAATTTGTATTATAACTTTGTATAACGTATCATTAAAACGTATGTGAAATACACTCTCAATAAAGTATTTATATTATTAAAATACAAATTAATATATAAGGGCTAGAGAGTAAGAATTTTAGCGCGGTTAATGGTGCGCAATTAATCTACCCAGACAGCACACAATATTTACAAAATATTTACAAAATATTTAGAAATATTTATAAGATATAATTTAAATATTTTATAAATATTTTTTTTTGTGGTTTTAGATTGCACAGATCATAAATATTTATTATAAATATTATGAAATACTTATTAGAATAGTTTTAGTAAATGCTATAAAAATACTTAATGAGATATTATAATCCAAATAAAAAATACTTATTAGAAATATTTATTTATATTTATCATAAATATTGCATAAAATATTTAGTCTATATTTTAATAATATTTCGAATAAAGCTTTGTATAAAATATTGTATCAAATATCTATACAACACTTCAAAAAATGAATATTAATAAATATTTATCATAAATATTCTGTGCTGTCTGGGTAATAGGGTAAAGCGGAGCTATTCCGTCAGTTTCAACTTTAAAATAATACAAAAATTTACGATAAACAATATCTCTTTACAGTTATGTGAGTGTTTATAATTACATTATACAATCGTAATTGCTTCTTGAGAGCACAAGCACAATTCCTTTAAATAATCAACATGTGATGTTCAGAAACATAAACATTATCACGAGAAATGTAAAAAAGCCAGCTGCTCTATCCTATTTATAACTTTTGAATATCGAGTTTATTTTGACATTTCGGTTCCTCTTCGGGCCATTTTAGTATACATATATAATAGTGAAGTAAAAGATCGCTCATTAATTGACAGAACCGGTAGAGTGCATGCTCCACCGTTCTAAATCCGTTGACAAATGGTTACAAGGTCAGATGGCAACAGACTTTAATTGGCAGAAATTTAAAACAATAATTTGTCTTTGAATAATTAAATTAATTATAAGAAGTCTGTCTTTTTTTTTGTTGTTATAAAATTCGAAAAGATACTCACCCATTTGGCCAATGACGCTCATATTACATAATTGAAAGGGTGTATGTCAATTGCCCAAATCACTAATCGGCTAATTTAAAATAATATAATCTCATTGGTGAAGCAGTGAAAAATTATTAGAAACAGACCGATATGAGTGGTGTGTGCAATTAAATTGTGTGCAAGTGCGCCGTTCCCAATTGAAATATAACATTGGCTTCGTTCAGCAGAACGTTTACTTTGCAACTGTTGGAAGTTTTTTTCACGCTGATTGGGTTATGCTTTTAGATCAAGAGGAATAGTCCAATCTCAGCAGAGAATCATAAAACGATTGCAAAACTGTTGTGTTCTACTGAACGCAGTCATTGGCAGTTTGGAACAGGATTCCGATGATACGAAGCAAAATGCATCAGAATCCTGTTTTCTGATTGGTTGCAGAGAGTTGTACAACGCACATCGGATGCAATGTGAATCCAGCATATCGCTTGTGCCAATGAGCGATCCTTTACTCCACTATTTATATGTATATTGAAGATGGCCGAAGAAGAGTCGAAACATCTAAATAAACTAAGAGTTTTTACATTTAGTTATTCATATTATGTTTAATAAATTCGCGGTTGTATCACCGTTCTTTTTGTCGTATTACCAAACGTAAAGCGTTTTCATAATTCGTCTTCTCCGGTGAAAAAATTTTCATATCTTATATTTTTAAGAAATTTTTATATTTTAAATTTATGAAAATTTCTAAAAAAGAAAATACCTTAAATTTTAAACTTTTTTTTAAAGAAAACTTAGAAATAAGTTTTCTTTAAAAATTATAGAATGAGAAATCTTAAAAATTTTAGAATATCAGAATTCATGCATATACATATATAAAGAACTTTTTAGAAGACTTTCTCAAAAATTTCTCTCTCACTTTTGGTGTTGCAATTTGCAAAAATCTGAGGAATTTTTCTAAAAAGTTACAAAAATTATCCAGTAATTGTAAAAAATTCTGATATTTATTTAGGAATTCTAGAAGATTATATGAAAAATTTTTAGAAAAAAAAAATTTCACCAGGAATTCTCGATTGGATTATAAAATCTCACCTTGCTGAACTGCCCCAGTACATATTTCAGGACGATAGGAGGCACATCATGCAACAGGGATTCAAGAGCCTCAATATACACACATTTTTGCAGAATTTGTTTTAGTGCTATATAACATTTTGCCTTGAGATCCTCGGAACTTATCGGATCATTGTACAGCTAATGAAATCGTAAAACTGTAAAATCAAGAATATTAATTATAATGTGGAAAGAATAACTAAATACCTCCAATAATTTAGATAATAGATTTGCGATCGCAACTGCCTGTGCATGTTCGGACGTGTATTTGCCAATTTGTCCAATAGCCCAGACGGTCACCGCGAGAATGTGATCGTCCGTTTCCTCTTGTAATACAACTGCCAATTGCACGATGCCCTGAGTAACACGAGTCTGTTATACATACAGTACGAAAATCGTCTCCCGTTAAGCACAAAGTAACAATAATAACCTTATATCAATATTACAATTTCTTATTTAATAATATAAATGTAACATAAAACATGTACATAACAACTATATACATTGAATAGGAAATGATAACACTGGTGTAATGTTACTGCTGTTACTTCGTGTTTAGCGGGCTATTACTTGCATTTGATTGATACTTCAGATCTTATTATAGCCACAGCCAGCTGATCAGAATGACCAGCAATGTAACCAAGTGTCATAATTGCCGGTAATCTAGTCGCCGATTTTGAGATGCCAATTAATTCGATAAGCGCAGCGATACCTCCGCTGTTTACTACAAGCTGCGCCAACTGTGAAAATTGCGTTATAAGCTGAATGAGAAGGTATGACGACATCTTTTACCTCAAACGTATGTTTGCAGATCTCCCTAGTTAAAATCGCCGCGACTTTACTGACATTCTCATCCGGATGCGCCATGTGTGCCAAAATGTCCTGAAAGATCTCTGCCTCGATCACAGCCTCCGCTAAATCTGCAGAATGTTTAGCTATGCTGCTCAGCGCTAATAACGCTTGACGCTACAGACATTACAATTATATATTCAAGTGTCAATATTTCAATCAGATGTTTAATATACAACTTTGGTCATAAGTAAAGCAGGATGTATTGTTTACGTAAAAAAAAGAAAAAAAAAATATATATATAACATTTACATCTACGTATATAAATATAAAATTATATTTTACATGTCATTTATGTTAATAATTTATGGATCGATTACTGAAGTCTGCGTTCTTTATTGCGCGCCTATAGTTATTAAAGCTTCTGTCGCGCTTACATATTGAGTTAGGTAAGAAAAGTCCCTTACCAAGTTGGTAAAAAGACCTTTCCCCATCAATATTTTCGTTAAAAATGATCAAAATTTAAATTTAATAAAAGGATTTTAAAGCTTGAAATCTTTCGAATTATTACTATATTTTTTGAATTTATGTGAGTTTTGTAATTTTTACATATAGAAAACTACGAGCTGGAAAAAATAAAAAATTTTTTTTCACTTCGCAGGTCTGTAGCGTATCCAAAACATAATCACTTAAATTTTAACGGTCACGCGAATTTCTATAATAAGAACCGATCATCGTCTTTAATATAGCATCACGTCGGTACTTTAACTTAAAAAGAAAAAGTCAATAAATTAAAGTTTAAAAGTAATTAAATTAATCCGTTTATTATTAACTAAATTAAGTTGGAAATTAATTTATATGAAATTAACCAAGTGAAAAGAAAAGTTATTAACTTTTTATTTAATTTTCAACTTTATATTATAACTAGGTAGTTATTACCCCGCAATCCTGCGTAGACAGCACCTTCAATTTATTCCTCCAAATGAATAATAGCGAAATGAAAATCAGAAAAACTAACAATACGTTGAAATTGTTATACAAATAAATATTATTTTTTTAATAAAATCGTCTCATA